ATGCCTCAGCCTCCCAAGCTGCTGGGATTCTAAGCGTGTACCACCGTGCCTGACTTCTTTTGACTTTTAAGGTGCTCACAGCAAAGAGTTTGCCTTGATCTCGGAGGAGAATTTGGCTTTGGACTTTTAGACGATGCTAGAACTGCTAAGATTATAGGGACTCTTGGAGCGTAGACTAAATGCATTTTGCACTGTGAGATGGGTAGACTATTATGGTTTTGCTTTGAGGGACCAGGACAGACTACTATGATTTGGCTATGAGGTGTTGCCCTGTTATAGTTTAGATATGAGCTATCCTCCAAAAGCTCATATATGAGACAGTATAGGAATTTTCAGAGTTATAATCAATGGATTAATCAACTGATACAGATGAACTGGGTGGTAACTGTAGGCAGGTAGGGTGTAGCTAGAGGAAGTAGGTAACTAGGGGTATGCCTTTGGGGTTTATTTTGTCCCTACTGAGCAGAGCTTGCCCTGTTTCCTGATTGCCATGTCCTGAGCTGTGTACCCTTCCGCCTCACCTCAAGTCCAAAGCTATGGAGACTGTGGACTAACCCTCTGAAAATCATGAGCCAAATCCTTCTTCCTCTTAAGTTGTTCTTGTCAGGTCATTTGGTCACAGGGATGCAAACGTAACTAAACACTCTCCCCACCCCAAACTCCTGTATTAATGTAGGAGGAGAAATGATTAGATCACAAGAGCTGAAACCTAATCAGTCCATCCTAGTTTGAATGGACAAGCTAGGTGGTAACTATAGGCAGGTAGGGCATGCATGGAAGAAGTAGGTCATTGGGGGTGTGCCTTAAAAGGGTTCATCTCCCCTGGAACCTCCTTCCCCATCCCCTGCTTCCTGGCAGAGCAGAGCAGAGCAGTGTTCATCTACCACACCACTCTTCCCTGATGGTCTGCCTCACCTTGGGCTCAGAGCAATGAAGTTGCCTAACAATGGACTGAACCTCTGAAACCATGAGCCAAAATAAACCTTTTCTTGTCCAGTATTTTGGTCACAGTGATCATAAAACTGACTAACATACAAGTTCATCGGATAGTCATTGGTTCAGCACACTGCTCTTATTGTGAAGCAGTTAAAATTGTCATATTCATTGACTATTACTTATTCAATATTCAGATTATTATGCAATATTCAATAATGATTTGAAATTCAATTTGTCTAACTCAATCTTCTTATTCTTACCAGTCCCCCTGGATATTAAACATACTCAAAAATATGTTGGTGAGAAGGAGGGACAATAAACCCAAGTGAAAAGTCTCTGGAAACTCAGTGAATGTTAGTGACTTTCAACTGGGAGCAAGATAGAATTAAGATTACCTGTTCTACCTTTTTTTTCCTATACAATAATAAAGAAACCAAAACCGTTCTCCTATAGACTTTTCTGTTCAGATTGGAAGTATTTCAGACTCTGAAAGTTTTGCTTTCCAGATTAAGCAGGCTGCAAATCCTTTAGGACTAGATTAAAAGTAAGCAAAGAATGCTTCCTCCCATCTTATTTTATTTTAGTTTGTCATTTTTTTTTCATCCAAGGGAACATATGCTTTCTATGCCCTTGGCAAAAACACCACCACCACCCCCACACTTATACACAATTTCTTTATAATTTTATTTTGGAGGAGTAACATTTTTGATAGTAAAATGGTGTCTATAAAGATTGGTCTTTGAATTATCTTACATTTTATAGAGCCAATTTTTAAAAATTTAGTATGTTTCAAAGTATCTATAAAAGTAGGTTGTTTTATATATTATTTTCAATAATCTGACAAGTCTACTATATACTTTTATCCTCCATAAAGCTATGAAGCAGACCAAGACATCGATTTTTTTGCTTTTATACCAGAATAATATCAATTTAGTATTGTAACACTGCATATCATGCTGCTCAGAATATGTCATTAATTACTTAATGGAGAAATAGATAGCAAATGCAATTTTGTGATAAAATCAAAATACGGGTATGTGAAATAAAAACGATAAAAGGAGTCATTGGAGGTGAAAAGATGTATGAGCATCTACCTTTGAGATTTAAAACAATAAAATATGCAGGTACCATCAGCCTTTAAAATCATGATATTGGTTGTGATCAAGTATTACAAACTAGCATCTAATAAAACTAAAGGAAAAAGATAAGATGGGTAATTCTTGAGAAGGAGAGTGATCAGGAAGGGTAAGTACTGTGTATTAGTCTAGAGACTGGCATTGTAAGCAACAAAAACAAGCTCAGTTACACAGAAAAGCAATATATTTGCAGTTTAACAAATCAAACAAGCAACACCCATATCTGCATATAATAGTCATGGCTACTTCTAGATTGATAAATAGAAAGACCAGTGAATCATATGGAAAACAACATATTAACTTCCTTGTCTCACAATAAAATGAGTTCTTTCTTTGATAAGATAAAATCCAGAATGTAATGTCTGATGATGTGGGGGGTTTTTTGTTTGTTTTTTTGTTTTTGTTTTTGTTTTTTAAAATGGGATCTTGCTTTGTTGCCCAGGCTTGTCTTGTACTTCTAGCCAAGTGATCCTCCCACCTCAGCCTCCAGAGTAGTTGGATTACAAGTATGGGTCACCATGCCTGGTGAAGGATATGCATGTCTTAACAGAATGCCCACTAATGGTTGATGCTAGCAGAGGTATGATGGGTAGGAAAAGCAAATCTAATCAAGTGTCCATTACAGTAAAAATTGTCTGCTTCCCCCCCAAAGTCCCCTTCTGTCTTCCATGAGATGGTGCTAGATCCTATCAAAGTATGGTACCATTTCAGGGACTTAGAGTTGGCCACTCTTACTGTTGGTGGCAAATTGGGCACTCAGCCAGGTAAACCTTGATGGAGAAACATGGTATTGAGCCTGTGCCTGATTTTTATCCCAGTCCTCAGAACCATTTTATTCTTTTTTTTTTTTAATTTTAATATTTATTTTTTAGTTATCGGCGGATACAACATCTTTGTTTTGTATGTGGTGCTGAGGGTCGAACCCGGGCCGCACGCATGCCAGGCAAGCACGCTACCGCTTGAGCCACATCCCCAGCCCCCCATTTTATTCTTGATATCCTCAAAGCACTTATTGTTCACTATTCACCTGATCATAAAATGCTTCCTTTGAAGAAAATAGGAGATATCATGACTCAGCTGCCAAATTATCTATTATGGTTTAGATGTGGTGTCCCCCAGAAGCTCACGTGTGAGACAATGCAAGAAGGTTCGGAGGAGAATGATTGGGCTAACCTAATCATTAGGTACAATCACTGAATTGATCTTAACCTAATCAGTGAATTAGTCCCTGATGGGATTAATTGAATGGTAGCTAGAGGTAGGTGGGATGTGGCTAGAGGAAGTGGTCTATTGGGGGTATGGTATGGGGTATATATTTTGTATCTGGAGAGTGGAGTTTCTCTCTCTCTGCTTTCTGATCATCATGTGAGCTGTTTCCCTCTGCCATACTTTTCCACCATTATGTTCTACCTTACCTTGAACCCCAAGGAATGGAGCCTGTTGTCTATGGATTGAGACTTCTGAAACTGTGAGCCCCAAAATAAACTCTTCCTCCACTACAATTGTTCTGGGTGGGTCTTTCAGTCGTAGCAGCAGAAGTTGATGAAAACATTATCCCAAAGGAAAAGTGAGATACCCCATGTACCTCCTAAAAAATAATTGATGGGGGGAAAAGGGAGACTTGAATGGGCTCAGTAAGTTCTGATTTAGCATGAAAGTCTTAGGATTTAGAAAATTTCAAGTTACATACTTAAATTTAATATGTGTGTTATCAAACCTCTTTTTGGGAATAATGGACCTAAAATTTTTTTTTCACTAAATAAAATTAAGTGTAACTATTTTTTTTAAGCTTCCTCAGAAGGAGGGGTCTGCTATGCACTGAACTGTGCCCCTGTCCCATCCATATGTTGAAGCCCTAACCCTCAATGTGACTGTACCTGGAGACAGGGTCTTTTAGAAAACAACTAAGGTTAAATGAGATCACAAGTGTGGGTCCCTAAACCAACACAACAGTGGCCTTATAGGAGGTGGAGATTAGGGCACAGACATGCACATTAGGAAAATAAGGTGAAGATAAATGGAGAGTATAGCTATCCACTGGGCCTTGGAAGAAACCAGCCCTGCTGACACCTTGATTTTGTACTTCTTACCTCTAGAACTATGATGAAATATCTCTGTCATTTAAGCCACCCAGTCTATGGTGTTTTGTCATAGCAGCCCCAGACAACTAATATAGATTGTAATACAACCCACAGAATAATGTAAGACTTCATGAGTGTTTGCTGATATAAATAGTAGTAAAAAAAAAAAAAGGAAAGTTTCCTCAGAGTACAATGCCATCTAATAAACATAGAAGGAATAATATAATTAGAAAATCAGTGTTTGATAACCATCATAGTAATAATTGATCCAAGCAAGAAACAATGTGTGTTGAGTAGCAGATAACTTGATGAGAAACAGAATATTTACATAGCCGAATAATCGCTTCCCATAAATTGCAAAGGGTAAAACAGTGATACCACGGTGGAGAAACCTGGCAGATGCCACCTTACCTAACTCAACAAAGCTAACATTCCCAATAATGAGACGAACTGCATCCTGTGCTTCGACGAGAACACACAGACATTGCAGCCCAGCAAACAAACACAAGGAAATCAGACCAATCCAAATTGAAGAATATTCTACAATAAATGGCCTGTCCTATTAAAAAGAAAAGTCAGTCCTGAAAGGCAAAGCAATACTGAGGGAACTACTTCAGATTAAACCAAACTAAAGAGAGGCAGGATGGTAAGTGTAGTCCTGGGATGGGACAATTAACACAAGCTGAAATCGGAGGGGAGATTAAATAGTCTGGTGTTAAACTTCCTTGTGGTAATTGTACTGGAGTTATGTAAGAATAACACCGCCATCGCACACTGAATCTACCAATCAATAGCCGCTGACCACTGCCGCCTCCTCCCCTCCCCGGCTATTTAGGGATGATTCAGACGATCCCTCCCAGCGATTCGCCCTAGCCCCCAGTCAGCATCCCTATCCTGCTTCGGGGGCTTTTTCTTTCTGTCTATATCACACCCTCCACCTGTCCCTCACCTGGACCCTCAATTCTACGTATCCCTACTGTCTTCTGCTTCCTTGCCCTCCAGCTTTCTGGCGCTCTGCACTCCCTAGCTCCTTTCACCTGCACCCAGTTCTCTTGCCCCTTCCGGTGCGCACCCCTTACCCAGCGCTTGGCGGTGCGCCTGCGCTCTGAGCCTGTGGGCTACGGAGTTGGTGGAACTTCTGCTGCTTCTGTTGCGTTGAGAACGGGATCTAGGTTCCAGGAGCGACACCCGCACAGGGCTGGGACAGGTGGTTACGCTAGCCGCGATGGGCTGCTCCAGCAGCGCCCTCAACAAGGCGGGAGACAACAGCAAGTTCCGCAGCGGTGAGCAGGGGCCCCGGCCACACCCCAACCTGGGTCGCGGATTCGCGTAGGCTTTCTCCCCCGGAGTTCCAAAAGATGCATCTGAGCACAGCCCACCCAGCAGGGGGCGAGCTCGGTCCTGGAGGGTGAGAGCGGGAACCTAAGTCGCGCTACGCCTTCTCCCCCAATATCTCTAAAATCTGAACCAGCGACTGCGACCCAGGGCTCAGCGGTTTGGGGGCGCTCCGCTGTGCATGCAGTGTCACTCGCAGGACTAATGACCGGGCGCAGGCTTATCCAGTCAGTTGATGTGATTACGAGGTACTAGTGTCAAATCCCTACGGAGGTTACTACATTCCCTTAAACACATGAGAAATTTTCACGGGGACTTCCGCGTGAGAGTTTTAGCATCCGAGATGGCATAGGACGCAGAGAATATGGAACGGCATTCACTCCATCAAATAGGTTCCTCCCGCACTTTTGAAGAGGTCAGATACTTTCCCCTATCCTTGGCTTCTGTATTTCTTGAGAAAGAGATATGTGATAAAAGGTGTCATCACTGAATCTTATAAAGAAAATTCAATGAGCCTATTTCGAGAGTATACTATATAATAAGTAGCTCAGTGTTTGGCTGGATGCTGGAGATACCAGTGACCCTATGTATGGAGAGCAAGAATGGAAGAGATAAACACAAGAGACAAGCGATGAGATAGTTTCTGACAGGGATAAGCACTATGAAAAAGAATTAAAGCAGATCAATGAACCAGAGAATGACTTCAGTTCTTGGATTTTGAATGGTTACCATTTCGGACAAAGCTTTGAATGTTATGCTAGTTTACAATCTTCAAGACTAACTTAAGTTGTCATTTTCACTTAACAATATTTCACATAAAAAGGTCTTCTGTGAGCACCTTGTGTTATTGCAACAGCAGAAGCGCCTTCCTGTTTGATTTTGTGGTCTTGAGTACTGTTTAAAAGCTCAGCCACCATGTCCTAGTCAGAAATACGTTGTACTGCTGTTATTTACTGGTGTGTAATAATTTGTATTTCTAGTTTTAGTAGATGACAGAAAGCAATCAGCAGGTAAGAAGAAGGAAAAAAAAATCAAAAGCGTTTCTGAGAGTGATTCCAAACCCCTTCTCACTGAAAACACTAAAGCACAGAAAGCCCATTCCTAATGCACAGTGCTTGCTAACTGTTCTCCTAAAGAGGCCAGCACCCCCCGTGCTCCAACATGCCCTAAAGAGGCTAATGCAAGGAAAAATGACTTAGATGTTTCATGTTTTATTTTATGGACTCAGGTAGATTTTTGCATTCTGTTGCATAATAATCCTTATTGGTTTCAGTATTTTAAAAAACTGAAACAAAGTGATACTGGAGTGATTAGAGGGATATATTAATTTATACTGGCTTCTCTTACCTTCTACCAAGCCTAAGATATCCTGGTAGTAGTCTCTTGGTTTAAAAGTAGAGCATCCGGCTGGGCATATAGCTCAATGATGGAGTGCAGACACAGTATGTGCAAGGTCCTGGATTTACTCTTCAACATGGAGAAAACCAAATCATTATAAATGTTTTAATTTTTTTAAATTGTAGATGGACACAATACCTTTATTTTATTTATTTATTTTTATGTGGTACTGAGGGTTGAACCCAGTGCCTCATACATGTGAGGCAAGCGCTCTGCCACTAGGCCACAATCCCAGTCCTCATTATAAATTTTTAAACTTAAAAAAAAGGTATATTTCAAGGAACGTAACTCTTGGGGAGGGGTTTAATTAGTGGGATGGGGTTTTTAATCCTCTCATTTAAAAATATCACTAGCATTAATAACCATTCACATGAGTTACACTCTCATATTTTATTCTTGCTTTTCTTGCTGTTCTAAGTTTTCATGGTTGTTCTGAAAAAAATATTCAAACACTTGACAACCAGTTTTAGTGTATAGAAAATTAATAATATGCTGCATAAATTGTTCAACACATATTTAATCAATCAACAGGTGTATTGCATCTGATCCTCTCTCAGACAATACTCTCTTGTAATTGGATACTATTGTATGTTTAGCAGCACTTCAACTCCATGATCTTGGAGGTCTGATAAATAATTCATTCCTGTTTAAACCTTCTTTAAATCCAAGGTACAAACCCAAGCTTGTCCAAGCTGGGTGTGGTGGTGCAGGCCTGTAATCCCAGGGGCTTGGGAGTCTGAAGCCGGGGGATCACAAGTTTCAGGCCAGACTCAGCAACCTAGTGAGACCTTGTCTAAAAAAAAAAAAAAAAAATTAAAAGGGCTGTGGATATAGCTCAGTGGTGAAATGCTGGATTCAACCCCCAGTACCTAAAATGAAAAATCAATACAACAGTCCAAGTTCATCAAACATCCTATACATGCATTTGTTCACTGTATCACCAGTGCCTAGCAATGCTAGCCACATAATAGATCCTCAGTAATTATTTGCTGAATGAATTAGTTCATTTAATCCTTATATCAGTTCTATGGCCAAGTATTATGATTATTTCAATTTTATAGGTAAGGAATAAATAATTTATCACAAGTCACAGGGCTCCTAAGAGTCAGATCTGAGCTTTGAACCAGTTTGTGTTAGCTAGATTTAAATCTGGTTTTCCTCCTATCATTCTGGGTCCCCATTAAGGTATATATATATGGTCACCCACCATGGCAATTCTAAAAGAAATGTAATAAAGAGTATTTATCCTAATCCCTAAATAAGATATTTACTATTTAGGTATTATACAAATAAGATATATAATATTTAAACACATAACATTTATATATTATATATAAATAAAATACATATACAAATATAATACATAAATGCACATTAATGTATTAATTTATAATAGTAATATGTACACATAGTATATATAATATCATTATACAATATTAATATTGTTAATATGTAAATATTTTATCATTTTGTTTTTGTAGTTTCCATAGTGGGTGACCACATATCTAACGGGGATTCAGTGATTTGAGACATATGACATAAGATAAATATAATATATAACAAGAAAAACATTAAAATTCTTAAATAAGAGTTGGTAAAATATGAGGTTTACATTTGCTTCCAAATTTAAACTAGGAATAGTTGGGGGACATTGAACTTTAGTGATATTTCAAGCAGAATGCATAGATAGTTGTAAAGAAACTTCCAGTGCCTTCATGAAAGACAGATACTCTTCATTCCATAAGAGAGTTTTAAAAATTTACACTAGCAACCTTAAAACTCTATGGGTTAACTAAAATACATGAACTATCCTGTATACTGGATTTTAGTTGATATATCTGCCTTACTGAATTTTCTATAAGAAATTTCTAGCTTAAAAGTGTTGTACATGATGCAATAGAACCGTTAATAGTTTAGGTTCTCTCTTGGATCTCTTCTATCTCTAAAATCTTGTGATATTAAAATCAAAAGGTACTTATTTTCTAGGCTCCAATTTAAGTCAGCAGCTACTTGTTAGGTAGCCCTTAGGTGACATAGGAAGAATCTATTCTAATGACATGTGGAAGTTTGCTTTGACCTACCAGACACTGAGCCCCTCCTCCTCCCCCCAATTTCTTAACTCTAAAGCCCAGGTATGTTTTGGGGGGGGGGGGAACAGAGGTGGAGATTGGCCTCTGGTTGTAAAGAATTATCTAATGCTACTCAGAGTGAAGAACAGTGCCTGGGCACTTAGATTTTAACTAAGTGCTAGAAGGTATGAAGAAAGAGGAATTTCTTTCCAAAAGGAAAATTAGATTGAATCTGAACACAAAGGTTATGTTGACTCCACAGACTTTAATGTCACCTGGGGTCTATAGACCTTTGCCTCAGATCCCTTCTTCACTTCACTAGCCCCTGATAACATTAATAATGCTCCATTGTTTCCTAATATAAATGCCCTCCCTTTCTGGTAGGATTCTCCTTCCTGAGACTTTACATTTTAAGCACCAACATAGATAGAGTAAATAGAAGGTAATTATTGGCAAACTCATTGCTAGGTTAATGTGTACATTTCCACCGATAGCTGTACTCGTTTCTTTGTTTTAACCTGAACTTTCACTAGATGCTTCGGTCTCTGCTGCCTAGGCACTCATGGGAGGCTTGAATTTCACAGTTAGTTGAATTGTTCTTTGTACCTTGGGCACACCTTCTGGCTTCAAACTATATTTTCACATGGAGACATTTCAGTACTAACCAAACATTTTCCCTTTATAGTTGAAGAACAAACATCATTAATATTAAAATCAATTTGTATAGGCTTTTCTTGTATACGGGAATACTTAAATGGGATTTTTCAAATGCTATAAGTCTCCAGAACGAGTCTTAAGTTCTTGGTATGTCTTTGTGGGAGGCATGGCTACGGCATACAGTAAATAAAAACAGAATATAGGGCTGGGGATGTGGCTCAAGCCGGTAGCGCGCTCGCCTGGCATGGTGTGGCCTGAGTTCGATCCTCAGCACCAAATACAAACAAAGATGTTGTGTCTGCCGAAAACTAAAAAATAAATATTAAAAACATTCTCTCTCTCTCAAAAAAAAGGTATTTTGTCCATTTACAACTTAAATATATTAAAAAATATTTAAAAATAAATAAATAAAAACAGAATATAAGAACTGGTTCAAAAATGTGAAAATATTTGAAAAAGTCATGCAGTGAAGAGTACACCTCCCACTCCATTTCCACTATCTGCTTAGTCCCAATCACATTAGTTTGGGTTTTCTTTTTTTGGCAGGGGGCGTATTTTCTTTTAAAGTTTCTATATGAATTGGAAATATTATTTCTTTCCCTCTCTCATTTATATTTAAAATGTATTATACTCACTGTTCTTCACCTTGATTCTTACCTAACAAGATGAAGACTTTTGGGCTGGGATTGTGGCTCAGCGGTAGTGTGCTTGCCTAGCACTGGAGGGACCTGGATTTGATCCTCAGCACCACATAAAAATAAAGGCATTGTGTTGTGTCCATCTACACCTAAAAAATAAATATTAAAAAAAGATGAAGACTTTTC